AGATAGACACATCACTGAGCTGAATATATGGATCGCACAGACCCCCCCATCTCTATAATCGTCTTCTCGTGCTGTCCCCGATTGGATTGCTAGCTCTTCAGGCGAGAGCGTCCCCGCGGACAGAACCCCCGGGCGCAGCGACAGGAATGGCGGTCTCCTACCTGTAAGGCGGCTCTGCAGCCCCGCAAGAAATGCTCCATGCTTCCAGCGTACACACGTCTCCGATCCTCCCCGCTGACTGGAGTCACACACAGCCCGGTGCACGGCATGCTGGGAGCGGGAGGGGCCTCCCACGTCACATGTCACCCTGCCGGCCAACCCGATCCTTTGTTTATCAGAGGCAATGTTTATATCCGACGATCATCGTTATTATCACCGGCGAGTGTGATCCCAGAGAAAGTGTCGCATATATACTGAGCCTAGGGTGACGGGAGGACGCCAGTTTGTGTCCTCCCGTTACCCTGAGGAGGACTATGGGGAAAAACACTGACCCCATACTTCTCCTTTAAGGGATCGCCTGAAGGCAGTCAGTGTGGGAGATAGACGGACGGGTAGGGGTAAAGAGTTCCAGAGAATGGGAGAGGTTCTAGAGAAGTCCTGGAGGCGAGTATGGGAGGATAATGTGTGTTTTTTCGCCCAGCTGATTCTATAAACTCATATTTACATTGTAGAGGACTGATGATTTATATCCTGTTGTGGCTATTAGACAGGAAGTGGAGGGAAATCTCCCCCAATGGGACGAAGATAGCAAAAAAAAAAGAGGACCTGCCACACACACCATCCAGCATTTCAGCAAATAATTTTGGGGGTTAATCTGTTACAGTCTCTTACCTGGACATCTCACGGGGAATCAGCACTTCCTGTTGCCGGGTGACAACGCTAAACCAAAGAAGAAAAAAAAAAAAACGTATTGTCATTTCCATCTTTGATTCCGAACGCAGTCGAAGTCTTCTCTCAGCGTCCATTAGTTGGAGTGATCATGTGACACGCGTGTGCGGGCACTTTCATGGCGGCGATATTTATGTGATCAGCAAAATCCATAACCTTTGCAACAGATGTGCCACACACGTGAAGGCGACGGGCTGCGTCATGTGACTTACGTGTGCGATCTGCTTATAGACCAATCAGAGGTGTACAGTCTCCTTCATGTGTCCACTCAGACATGATGTCTGAGAGCAGCCAAAGGAGACCGTTACTTCGTTACTTTACCCCCACCCTAAAAAATTAAAGGGTATCTCCTTTCTAGAGTGGGGGAAGGGGTGAGACCCTCCATCTGATTCTATTGCTGGCGGTGTCCCCATTGAGCAGATTCAGCCTCAGCTTGTACTGGTGACAACTGTCACTGAAACCGAGGGTAAATCCAACACATTAGAGTTGTCACCAGAACAAGAGGTGAGAGGAAATCATCCATTGGGGGGGGACACCTGTCTTATGTTGGCCATACACCGCAGGGGCCAAACGAGCCGGGGAAGGGGTGCTCTAGGTGGGAGTATCCCTCATTTTGGGAGATTTACCCTCACTTCCTGCTGTGTCTCTGGGACAGGAAGTGCATGCACATTTCCCACAATGGCACACAGACAGCAAAAACATAACTCGGCAGGGGTTGTAATAATACAATGAAGGTAAATGGTGAACTTGAAACACGTTCCCCCAATCCCTGGGTACCTGGCAACCACGCAAAAGGCCTGAAGTGAAAAGTATGTTTGTTGCTCATAGCAACCAATTCTATTCTGCACTGACAGGTTGCTATAGGTAACCCAGTTCACGCTGGAGCCGGGCCCTACATCCTCCATGTAGCCGGTGTCGGGCGGAAAGCGCTGTGTTCTCTCTGGCCGTCCGCTCACTGAACTCTATGGTATCGCCACGGTGGAGCGCACTACAGCTTCCGGCCGGTAGGTGTCAGCCGAGCGTGTTCTGTCTAGCCGGCCGGACACTGGACTCTATGGTGTTTGCCTTGGTGAAACGCAGTGCCTTCCTCCAAGCGACAGGCGTCAGCAGGAGCGCCGCTGCGTACAGTCTGGTCGGCTGCTGATCTCGGTGGTGGCTTGAGGCTGGAGTGAAGTTGGTGAGAATAAACAAGCAGAGAGGCCTGAGGAGCCCAAGGGGCCCCTGACTACCAGCCCCGCGCCCCCGAGGCGCCCCAGCACCTGCAGGTAACTCGTCCTGGGCTTATTCTGCACCTTTCAGTGCTATGCAGAGTCTGTATATTCTCAGCTGTTTCATGTGTATTTAATGCAATGCTATTCATGGCCATTGACGCATCTGTCATCATATTACCCCATCATGGGTGTCAGTGGGGGGAATAGTGCCCCATCATTATTGGTGGCAGTGGGAGGAGTAGTCCCCCATCATTGGTGTCAGTGGGAGGAGTAGTCCCCCATCATTGGTGTCAGTGGGAGGAGTAGTCCCCCATCATTGGTGTCAGTGGGAGGAGTAGTCCCCCATCATTAGGAGTAGTCCCCCATCATTGGTGTCAGTGGGAGGAATAGTGTCCCATCATTGGTGTCAGTGGGAGGAGTAGTCCCCCATCATTGGTGTCAGTGGGAGGAGTAGTCCCCCATCATTGGTGTCAGTGGGAGGAGTAGTCCCCCATCATTGGTGTCAGTGGGAGGAGTAGTCCCCCATCATTGGTGTCAGTGGGAGGAGTAGTCCCCCATCATTGGTGTCAGTGGGAGGAGTAGTCCCCCATCATTGGTGTCAGTGGGAGGAGTAGTCCCCCATCATTGGTGTCAGTGGGAGGAGTAGTCCCCCATCATTGGTGTCAGTGGGAGGAGTAGTCCCCCATCATTGGTGTCAG